GCCACACTATTTAAAGAAAGAAGACAAATACAGAAACTCAACAACATAATAACACTCAGTTCCCAGTTACAAGTTACTAGGCATGCCAAGGAGCAGGAACATGTGATCGAGAATCTGGAGAAAAATTAAACAATAGAAACAAACCTAGAAATGACAGAGATAATGACACTAGAAGATAACATTAAAACAGCTATTATAGCTACGTACAAGTGTATAAAGTAAAATGTAGGGGAGGGTGTGGCTCAGTGGTAGAGCACGTGCTTAGCATGCACGAAATCCTGGATTCAATCCCCAATACCTCCATTAGAAAAAAATTAATAAATAAACCTAATTACCTCCCCCCAAGCAAAAACAAACAAACAAACAAACAAAAAATTAAGTAATACATAAATACAATGAGAAGAGAAGTGGAAAATATTTTTAAAAGAATCAAAAAGTTTATTTTTTGACTACAATGAAACTAAACTAGAAATAAATAACAGAATAATGCCTGGAAAATATCCAAATATTTGGATCCAAAATAACACATGTTCAAACAACCTAGGAGTCAGGAAGAAATAGAAAAGGAAATTTAAAAGTCCTTTAAAATGAATGAAAATAAAAGCACTGTGTATCAACATTTGTGAGATGTAGTTGGAGCATCCATAGGGAAATCTACAGCACTAAATGCTTATAAAAGAAAGAAAAAGATCTTAAATCAGTGGCCTCACCTTCCAAGTTAAGAAGCGTGGCAAATAAGAGAAAACTGAACCCAGAGTAAACAAAAGAAATAACACCAGCCGGCACACCACAAAACAGTGGTGGAATCAAATTAAACAACACTCTTAAATGCTACCGAATGTAACGGAATCCCAGAGAATGGTCCTCTTGCCCCATCTGCTCTCCTTTCTTGTCCACTTCCAGTGTGGTCCAGTGCCTAGGAAAAAGGCCTCAAGTAACGGGGCTCATCTTTAAAACTACATAACAGAAATCTTGGGGTTCAGTCTGCACCATTGCAGGTAAGGCCAAGAACATAACTCACATGTCCGCCAGTTATCTTCGGAACGCCAGAAGACAGAAGGCCACCCTGTCAGGAAGCCCGGATTGCTTACCGAAGGGAAGTGAAAAGGCATTCAGAACAAAAATAGCCAAGCCTTTATCAATGAGAGATTGTTAGAGGACCCTCAAGACTCATGCTCTTACTATGTTCTAAGCACAGTCATTTATGTCCAAGCAGACAAGAACATAGCCTGTTCTTTCAAGCTCTGCAGGAGAAGTACTGGAACTTCCAAGAGCAACACCATCCAGTGCAATGGGAGGACCACCAACCCCAGCACAGAGCCGTGTTCAGACAAGGATCCTCAGGCAGTCTCTGTACACTGTATCCTTATGAACAGGTTTATCACACAGCATTTACACACACAATATGACCCATGCCCTCACCACTCTAAACTGTGCTGTCCTCAAAGTCAGGGGCCACATCTTAGTCAAATTTGTATCCCCAAACCCTAGCATGGTGGAACCAGTTAATAAATGTCCTTTAAAAGGCAAGTGGAAACCCCCTAAAAATCCTAAAGGGTTACAGATAACACCCAAAGTGAGCTTTGAGAGTTAACAGAAAGCAAAACAAGGCTTCAGATCCAAGTTGAAACCAAAGAACAGAAGCTTATAATCTCTTTCCTGAGTTCAGTTCAATTTTTAAAACATTTTTTAAATGGATTTGTTTCCAGCCTTCAGTGAGCGTTTGGGTGGGACTGGGTTTGATCTGAGCCAGTCTGCCTATGCTTTTCCCACGGTGCTCTGGAAGGAAGCAGGGAGTGATGACTCACAACCTGGCACAGCCCTTAGTTCCTATGTACTGACACCAGATGGAATTCCAAAAGAGGGGCGTTCACAAAGGATCAAAACCTGGATGCTCCGGCCCTAGGACGTGGTTCACGTTACAGACTTTCCAGCATGATGCTAAATTAGCCCCATTTGGTCCCAGACAGTTAATGACAAATACGTGGAGAGGTGACTTCACGTGGAAATTGTCTCAATTCTCACTTCATTCATTTCAAAAGGCTTCCCGGATTTTACCCCCACACCCACCTTCATCCCCTACCTCCTTCCTAGGCCCCGGTTTTTCAGAATGCAGGCTCTGGAAAACAGTGCTTGCAGGATGGCCCAACTATGAAAGCAGGCCCTTTCTGGCCATCTTTCCTGGACTGAGACCCAAGGACTTCTCCATTCAAAATAGCAGAGCAACGACCTAGAAAGTGCAGACAGTCCAGAGAAAAGAAAGGCGGGTGGAGTCCGGATGAGCTGTGCTAACAAGAAAAGATAAGGAATCGACAGGAATGTCATAATTCACTGCGTTCTTCTCATCCCTTCCCCTACCCTTACCTCCCCCCAAAACACACATGCGCACGCACGCACACACGCACTTCAGTGCACTGTCCAATACCCTTTTCATAGAGTCATCTCACTTCCTCCTGAGTTTCCACTTCTTTTATGAGCGTTTGCTCTTTTTCTACTTTATTGTTACCATCCTGCCTTTATAGAGCCTCTACATTACTTTTGTGCAGCCTTAGACTGCCATGGCAGACCCCTCGGTCTTTTGAAACACAAAATCCCCAAATCATATTTCCTGCATTATTTCCAATTAAACTCCACATCCAGGGGAACATCTGTCTCTAGAAAACAGAAATCACATTTACCCAAATCGTTCTACCTAGTGCCTAGCAAGGAAGCAAATGTAACTGCAGGCTCAGGATCACCGTGCTTGTTCTCTGATTATGATGATGATGATAATGACCCCATTCACTTTAACTTGCACCTCTTTTTAGACGTTAGGCTCACCAGTGGCTCAAAGACTTCAATGCATCCGAAAGTGCCACGGAAAGGTGAAAGGGCTGGCTCTCTGAAGGCAGTGTGATAACAATAAAAGAAAACAGAAAAAAGAGCAAACACTCATAAAGAGAGTGGAACTTGGGAGTCAGGACAGAGCAGCAGACATGGAGAAAGGGCACGCACAGGCACTGAGTCAGAGAGCTCCGAATTAGAATCCTCATTTGGTCAAGTTCTAACTGTCTGAGCTCGGGCCAATTGTCTAACTTCTCTGAACCTCGACTTCCTCAGCCTAGAAAGATGCTCAAATGTTCATCTTAGAAGATCTCCTTGGACATCAGGGGAGACAACCTTTAAGGCATTTGGCTCATGTCAGTTGCCTTGTAAATGTCAGTTCCCTTCCCTCCCCAGCAGAAAGAGGGATCCGGAGTGATAATTTCCAGCAGCGCCCAAAGAGCTGGGCTTGTCTGTAATCAATGCATTTTCAGAGGCTCATCCTAAGCTTCTCACTTTTAGGTGTTTTCTATTGCCTCGTGAAGATGCCTGTGTTCTCTGCAATCACCAGCTTCAAGGGGAAAGTATATGTTAGTGCTTGTGTATAACTGGGCATACTTGTCCTATCCATCAAAATATACAAACTGACCAAGACCTCACACCTTTAAAGGGTGGGACTCAAAGTCCCTTGTCCGGACTCTCAAAGCAATCTGGCTGCACTGCACTCAGAACACAGATCACTGTATTATATTTCCTGTTTAAGCACCTAGATCTCCCCTAGGCTATGAGAGCCACAATTGCAAGGTCAAGGTGTGACTCCTTTTTGCATTGCCAACTAGCATGAAGCCAGTCATTCACAGCATATTTATAGGATTGAACCAAACCATCCATCCTCTGGGTCTGCAGTGCTTTAGTATAGATGCCACACTTCATAAGCCCCCTGGCAGCCTTTCCCTGAGCCTCAGAAAGTTCAAGCATTGAACACGTATTATCTTTGTCCTTTAAGAATCAACTGTTTGGGTGGTGATCAAAAGGCACAAACTTCCAGTTACAAAATAAATAAATCCTGAGGATGTCATGGGCAGCATGGTGATTATAGTTCATACTACTGTATTGTATATTTGAAAGGTGCTAAGAGAGTAGATCTTAAAAGTTCTACTCATCAAAAAAAATAGTAATTATGTGAGGTGATAGATGTGAACTAGACCTGCTGTGGTGATCAGTTACCAATGTATACATAAATAGAATCATTATATTGTACCCCTAAAACTAACATAAAGTTAGATGTCAATTATATCTCAATTTTTTTAAAAGTTAGAAACAACTACAAAAAATAAAAGAGAATTGACTGTTTAGAAAAAGCTTTTTCTTTTGAAAGCTAAAATCTATTCAAAGAAGAGTGGATAAAAGATGTCAGAGAAATGCGTTGAACTAGCCTCAAATTGCTCTATGCTTTTTATGTATTGCCATAACCTTGGGCACCTGACCCAAGCCCGCATCCAGGGCTCAGGGACACCTCGCACAAGGTGCACACAGGGTGTGCTTGGTGCGTGCCTGAGGGCTCCGTGCTTAGCAGCTCTGTTGTGAGGGCAACCACGCCAAGGGAGGTGGCAGTACCCTCTGCCTCAGGTAACAAAGTCGGGACGGTGATGACTAAGTCAGAAGTATCTTTCAATCTCCGAGTTCCTCCTCTGCTCTGACACATCTCTTTCTCTTCAGAGGAAATGGGAACAAGCTCAGGCAAGGGTTCCTGGGGACGGAACTGTCTTTTACTGTGTAACTCATTCATTGCCAGCCTCTCGTGAAGAAAGTAGGGTCCACGATGACTGAAAACACAGATAAGCTCACATTTAGAAAAATATTTAAGTGACAAATTCACAATCAGTTGTTAAGGTGAAGTCAAGAAGTTAGGGGCAAGTGCCTAGAGTCTCATGGAGGGTAGATTTCATGGAAGGCAAATACCATGTTCTCCCTCAAAAGAATGGCCTTTGGAGACAGACACTCTGCTCTACCTTAACAGCTCTGTCTTCTCATCTTTTAAATAAAAATAAACTACCCTACAAAGTTCTTTATAAACATTCAATGAGATCACTAACTCATCTCTATATTAGCTGCCTTGTCTTTGGTAGGCAAAACCCAGGCCCCAGAGATACAGCTGTCCCCATGGCTCGCAACTCTGAGGCCAAGTGTCAGCTGGCATAAATCCCCAGACATGGTGTTTTGTGTTTGGCTGATCCCTGGGGCACTTGAGTGCACGGCCCTTGAGTTGGGGCAACCTCATCATCTTACAGATGAGGAAACACAGGCAAAGACCTCACATGGCTCAACACTGCTTGCAGGCAAAACTGCAATTCCATGGCAGACAAAGCCACTCAGTGCTTTCTTAGATGGTCACTGGGCCCCACTGCAAGCCAGGATACTGGGCTGGGTAGATCTTATAAATCACATCATCTGTATACCATTTATCAAATGCTTTTATAACTAGAGCTCATTTAGTCTAAAGGATACTGACTATTCTCTAGAGAATAAATCTAGCTCACTCTATGCTAACTGTAGTAAAAGTAAAGATAATAGTGGTGCTTGCAGTGGAAATATTTATAATTTATTAAACCTTTACTATATGCCAAGTATCCTGCTGAGCATTAAACACATCTTATGCCTTATTTCACATAATCAGCCCAAATGCCAGGATCCTCCTTTACACTGAATCCTCAGTTCTGCAAAAAGCTGGCATGAAAAAATGCCTTCCGTCTCTCTGTAGGACTATCAGTGCCCTCATGTACTGTGCCCACATTAAATCCCTTCGAAATTCTGAATGTGGTATGTGTGGTTTGAAGTGGGCAATTGAGAGACTGGTATCTCTGGAAATAAAACACAAGAGGTGAAGGTTGCTTCTTAATCCCAGAATATGGAACCAACCCATCTGATAGTGATTTATAATTAATACACCTCACATTGCTCAATCTAGTCTAGAAGATAGATTGCAGGGTAGAGTGGGAGAAGCGCCTTCCAGTCCATTCCTTTGAAATGTTTCTTTGTTATGACAAAACAAGAAGTTCTGTAAGGTAAAGGGGTTAGAAATGCCTGGCTTCCTGTGGACAGATGCCAGGTGGAGGAAATAAACAGACATCATTCTCACTGGTTACGAATGCCCTGAAAAAAAAAAAGTATTTCCTATCATGCTGCCAAGGCAATGCCTGTTGCTTACAACATAAATTCAAGGGGAGAAGTAAGAGGGTGACTGAGTAGTGTTTGGGGACCATGGAAAGTAGAAGATAAGAAAAAAAAACACACTTATTCCAATTTTGTGGATAAAGTGTAAACTCTCACCGCTGAGTCAAGTGACAGCCCTGATTCTTAAACAAATGGAAGTCTAGCCAACATGACAATGAACTGGAGCCCATGGTGCTATTCCTTAACATTTCACGGAGGCTGGGAGTTACAGAACGCCAGAGCGGGACAGCTTCTCAGAGACCTGCAGTCCGGAGATCACAGCTGCCAGCTCCATGACATTGACTTCTTGGGTTTTCCTAGGGTTAACTTAAATGGCATTTGAGCCTTGTTTTAATTAACTATTAACATTTTAAAAATGAAAAGACTTCATATAAAAATCCAGGGCTCTGGTAGCTCTGGTATCTCTTTTTTAAAATAAGAAAATAAGCAAACACTAGACCTACATTTTCATCTACCAACCACTCAGCGCCCCCATGAAGTTCCCCCATCCTCCATGCTGAGACCAGCGTCAGCTGGTGATAATGCCGGGAATGCCTGATCCCTGTGAGCCCTTCAGTGCATGTCCCCTGAGCTGGGGCAACCCCATTCTCTTATAGATGAGAAAACCCAGGCAAAACCTCCCATGGCTCACCCCTGCCTATAGGCAGAGTCCCAGTGCCACGGGCGAGGCCATTTGCAGAAGATCCCAGCTGCCCTATCCTGCCAGTTCCCCAAAGGAATTCTACAGCCCAGCCTCACTAGATGGTCTTCATTATGCATGGTCAAGGCTCTTCTTCCCTCTGTCTCAGATATCTTTCCCTGTATCAGATTCTTGCTCATCTGTATGGAACTCAGAGTGGTTCCATCTTCACTCCCCAGGCCCGAAGTGTCCACACAGCACTTTGTACCCACTTTAGCAATGGATTATAAAGTCCATCGGGGAAGGTCGATGTTTAAGTCCTCTTTTTTTATGTCACCAGTGCCTACAATGGTGCCATGACATATCATGAGCTCTGAGTAAATCTGGGCTTCAGAGAGGATAAACCATTTGTCTTCAGATACATAGGTAATTATACTCACAACATATGATTGGGAAAAAAACAAGTTAAAAGTAGATTTGGTCCATGAAGAACAAGCAGACTGATGAATTATGAAATAATGCTGAAAACTTTCTTAGTGACAAATATAGTTGCTACCCTGCCAAGCCTTCCTTACTCCAGAAGTAGGGACTGCCTGATCAGTGTGGCTTGCAGGGTATCAGAAGGACCCCAAAGGCTTGGATATCTTCCCCTACCACCTGCCAAGCTGCCCAGAAATCCACTATATAAACGTACTTGCACTACGGCTTTTTCTGTTCCAACGTCGCACCCCCTTCCCTCTCATCTGCAAGAGCCATTAGGCAATTCTTAGAGGTTAGCACAGCTTCAGTTAACTTATCAACTACTTTTCTATCTGATGTCTTTATCCTGGAAGATCTGGGTAAGTTGTGATAGAGTTAAATAAAGGCTGAGTTCCAGAGGAAGGCACGGCCTCAACGTCTGAAGTAAGAGATGGGGAGCAGGCACAGGGGTTAAATGCAAGGCCGGTTGGGACCAAGATGGCTGGGTCCAGTTATGCTATTTGCTAGGTGAGGGCCCTTTGGCGAGACATTTACCTTCTGTGCCTCCACCTCCTCATTTAGGTAGAAAATGGTGTTATTAAGAGGATCTACGTTTATGGGGCAGTGGAAAATCAAGTGAATAAATGGCAGGCATTCAAAACGGGGCTTGACGCAGACTGAACCCTGTATAAGCTTCGGCTTCTGTCATTATTAGGAGATGATGGCATGGAATTTAGCGCTGAATAGGGCTGCTCCAGTTTTACTACCTGCTGTCTCCTTTCCCAAATAACTGCTGAAGGATACAAGGTCCAGAGAGGAGGAGCGGCTTACCGAAGGCCGCAGGCTAGCGGAGAGCAGAGCGAGGGCTTCCTGGCCAGCGTTCGCCCCGTGAACTTGCTGAGGAAGAAAGGAAGGGCTGTGGGAGACCGAGAGAAACCGAGAGAGCGAGCTCTAGCCTCTCTTCCTTCAAAGGACAATGGGATCCAGGCCCTTGGGACTTCTCCCCTAAATCAACTCCAAGCCCCCGCTCTCGGGTGGGCTCCATGTCTGAGCAAATGCCACCCTCTGACACACACCCACACCCCCGCGCTGGGCGTACCCTGC